GGTGGGTAATGTATTGATATATGGATTTCATTTCAGTTCAATTCAGTTCAGTTTATTTCTTCAGCTCCAAGTCACATCAGAAGTCGTCTCAGACACTGAACAGAAACATTCATCTATAAAATAATAATTAACAGAAACATTCATCTATAAAATAATAATTAACAGAAACATTCATGTATAAAATAATAATTGAACAGAAACATTCATGTATAAAATAATAATTGAACAGAAACATTCATGTATAAAATAATAATTGAACATTATTTATCTGAGGAGCAGCTTTGAGTTTAACTCCATCACTGAACTCTCATCTTGAACAAGCATGAAGGCGACAGTGGAAAGAAAAACTCCCTCATGAGAAAGAAACCTTTAGCAGAACCAGGATCAGGACAAGCGTCCATCTGCTTCAACCATACTAAAGACCAATGCTGAGTCAGGACCAGGTCCAGGGTCCTGGATCGGGGTCAGGCTCAGTCTGTAGACATAAATGGAGGTCAATATGAGGTCCTCATAAGTGTAGGAAGACAAACACAGGTGTGTTGTTTCAGGATCAGGTCCAAGTCTCCTCTGAGGATCTTCTGTTTGACGGTGGTTTGATGGACAGCTGATTGCTTTAAATCTTCAAGGTTCCTCTTATTGAAAGGTGGATCTGTAGAGTCCCGGCACCTTTAGGGACGGGCTTCTTCTGTAAGGCAGCACCGTTTGATGTCCAGATGTGTTGGTGATAACTGAAGCTAACCAGATGTTGTCTCCTCAGTCCCTCTTCCATGCCAACTCCCTCCAGAAGACTCACCAGAGCGCTCTGCAGGTCCAGCAGAAAGCCGAGGTACACCTGTCCTCCGTTTCTAGGACAACCACCGTCTACCTTTACTGCTCATCCAGCTCCTGTTCTGTTCGGACCCTTTGTCCAGATGATGCTGCAGGCGGGCCACTATGACCCAGAGGCCATCCGGAGCTGCGCTGAGAAGGTGGCTGTCCACTGGCAGCAGCTGATGCTGAAGATGGAGGACCGGCTGAAGCTGGTCAACGCCTCCGTGGCCTTCTACAAGACGTCTGAGCAGGTGTGCCTCACACCGCCGTACGCTCGCACACTCTGGGTGTCTGTGCAAACCGTCCTCTGTGCCTCTGAAGGTGTGCAGCGTGCTGGAGAGCCTGGAGCAGGAGTACCGCAGGGACGAGGACTGGTGCGGCAGCCTGGACAAGCTGGGGGCTGCACCTGACGGAGACCACCTGCTGCCTCTGATCAGCAAACACCTGGAGCAGAAGGAGGCCTTCCTGAAGGTGACGGGGCTCTGTTCAGTCAGAATCACCCTGCTGGACCTCTCACTCAGAATGTGTGTGCTCTTTGTGTAGGCATGCACGCTCGCTCGAAGGAACGCTGAAGTCTTCCTGAAGTACATTCACAGAAATAACATGAGCACGCCGGGCGCCGTGGGCCACACCCGAGGACCAGAGCAGCAGGTCAAAGGTGAGCTCTGCTGCGACACGGTGGAGCAGCGGCACATCCAACTGCTCTGGCATCAAACCTGCAACCTAAAGCTGGGCTGGAGCTCACTGGAGAGCGGGATGTGCAGGGACGTTTTCTGACATGAGACACAGAGACATGTCCAAACGTATTGTGTGACAGAGTTTCTCTTAAACGTGTCACAATTTTTTTTTCATTTACTCTTTATTTATACAGGAAGTCTCATTGAGTCACGAGAACTCATTTTCAAGAGATACCTGTTTAGAGAGCAGATGGTGGGGGTTAAGGGCCTTGCTCAGGGGCCCAGGGTGGGGTAAATGAGGGTGGAGGCAGGTTCATTCAACCTTTATTTAGACAGTGGGTGTAGGTGCGGATGTTTCACCTTTTCCACCCACATTTTGATGTTGATGGTACCGGGAGTTGAATCTGCGACTTTCTGATCACAGGCCCATCTTCTCTAACCTCTTGACCACCACTCCCCACACAAACGTGTCCAGACCGTCCTCTGAGCACCAGAACTGAAGCTGACAGGAAACATGTCGGTCTTTAACACCAAAGCTGACGTTTAACAATAATTCAGGACATTTTCTCAGCATCCCTCCAGCAGTCCCAGCCCAGTCACCAGTCCCAGCCCAGCCCCAGCAGTCCCAGCCCAGC